ATATATATATATTGCCCCAAGATGCCTTTTTTTTTCTTTTTTTGGTACCAGGGATCAAACTCAGGTCCTTGTGCTTGCAAGACAAGCGACGGCAACACTGAGCTAAATCCCCAGCCCACCAAGATGCCTTTTTGAGGAGTCACAGCTAACCATTCTAACCTGAGGTTTTCAGTATAAATATGTGTACATACAATATGTTAGTTACATATTGAGGAATAACAAATTACACATCTAGCAGTTAAAATCAATGTGCATTTATCATCTCATAGTTTCTGGGGATTAGGAATACAGGTACGGCTTGGGAGGGTCCTTGGCTTCAGTGTCTCTCATTAGTGCCACAATCAAGGATCAGGTCAGTTCTGGCGTTCCACCTGATGACTCCGCTGAGAAGGGATAGGTTTCTGCAGTCATGTTTTTTGGTAGAATTTCAGTTTTTTCTAGGTGGAGCAGAACGTCTCAGTTCCACGTGAGTCTCCATAGAGCAGCCTCCAACACAGCCCCTTGCTTCCTTAACAATATCAAGCAAGAATCTGTTAGGAAGATGGAGCCAGAATCTTTTAAAAATACACTCATGGAATGGCAGTCCAGAACTTTTGTCAAATTATAGTATTTGGAAGCAAGTAAAAAATTCCTACACCCAAGGGAGGACATTCCATGGTGTCTTGAACAATAGGAAGTAGTGGGACTGGGGCTATACTGAGTCTGTCAACCACCAAAAGCAACACAGTAGAGTCAGTGAGTGGGGAGAGCCGCAGAGTCTTTTCATACGGGGGACAAGTGGTAGATGTGTTTTATAAAAAGTTGTGTGAATCCTACACAACATAAAAGCACAAAGCCCGGGAAAAGTGGCTAACAGGTACACATGTTCCCAGCCTCCCTGAATGATGCTGGATCACAAAGGTATGGTAATGGAAATCCTCTGCAGGTCATGTGCTACAGCCAGAGAGAGAAAAGGCACTGATGAGCTTGGTGGGCAGGACATTCAGCTCCACCTCCACAGAGAATTCTATGACCTTTGCAGAGGAATTATTGTAGAGTGATGCATGGAGAGCCTATTCATGCTATTTTAATATAATAGGATCCTGTATCTCTCAGGCGTATTACTGCTATTAATGGTAAAGATGAGCACTAGCATACTGATAGCTCAGTGTGGTATCTAACCATACAGACACTAGAATTAAACTGCATGGGTTCAAATTCTGGCTTCTCCTGTGACCTTGGGCAGATTATGTAACTTCAGTGCCTTCCTAAGTAGAAAATGAATAACTGTGGATCTTTTCTAGGGTTAATATGAGGATCAAATAGATTGACAGAGCACTGGTGATGGTGCTGGCTACTATCAGGTGCTGAGTACTGCACTGTCTTCAGAGTTAATCCCAGGAAGCCATGAGGAGTTGCCTCTAGAGTACTCTCCCTGACCAATGCAACATGAGCAAATACAAAAGAAAGTTTTGAGTTCTCCCTTTTTTTGAGACAGTGCTATGTGAAATTTAGGTAGTCCTCAAACTCACTATGTAGCCCAGGCTGGCCTTGAGCTCACAGTGATTCTACTGCATCAGCCTTCTGAGTGCTGGGATTACAGGAGTGTGCCACCATGCTTGGCTCTCCTTGATATTTTATTTTTAACTTTCAGGATGAAGAAAGCTTGATTCGTATACAAAATTCTGCAAATAAAAGTGTCTAAAGAGACTTGTCCAGGCCCAGGGATTTAGTTCAGTGGTGCCACCACCTACCATGCAAGCGAAAGGTCCTGAGTTTGATCCCCGGTACCCAAAAAACAAAACAAAAACCACACACACACACACACACACACACACACCCAAAAACAAAATAAAGAGACTCATCCACATTCATGTGACAATTTTCCTTTATTATTTTGTTTATTAGTACATGCATGTGTACTAAGTAGTTTTTCAACGGCTGTGAATTTCCTTCTTGGAATGGATGACACTGCCATTGCAGTGAAAGGCCAGTAGGTGGCTTCCATAGCCTCACAAAAATATACATACACAATACAAGTCTTCACAAGATAGTTTTGAACTACAAAAATGAGTAAGAAAGTCTACGGACACAGATGTTGAAACCATATTTTGTTTAGGCCTTAGGAATGTTTTTAAAGGTAAAATGTAATGAATATTTAATTCAATTGTTTTCACACTTAAAATCTCATTACATTGTTGATAGAGGTATTTATTGGGGTACAACCTTCGAGAATGCAACTTTATACCAAAGTAGTTTAAACAGTCTTATTCTTTTACTTAACCACTATATATATGTATATATAGGAATTATATATGTATATATGTACATATATGTATTTATATATATATTTATACGTATATGTATTTAAGAGGAAAGATGGTGATTGTGCCCCACGAGAAACTTTGACCATGACAATGTCTGGATACATGCTTGAATGTCAAGACTGGATGAGAAACCTTACTATTAGCAGATAGTGGGTGCAGTCCAGAGATAACAAACATCCCATAAAATACAGTACAGATGTGTGTTGTGGTGAACACCTGTAATCCTAGCGTTCAGGAGGCTGAGGCAGGAGGATTGCCATGAGTTTGAAGCCAGCCTAGGCTACATAGTGAGTTCAAGATCAGCCTGAACTACATAGTAAGATCCTTTCTCAAAAATCATCCAACCAACCAAACAAAAAACTTCCACAGGACAACCCCACCCCATATTCAGCCCCAAAATGTCAATTATTCTGACCATGAGAAGACCTGATCTACAAACATATTGTTTAGAAGAGTAAAAGTTGGGGGAAAAAAAGAAGAGCTAAAGATGGGAAAAGAAACTTAAATATCTAAATAGAAGATTGGTATACCAAATTGTGAAATAATTTTCTGTACAATTCGTGATTATTTAGTTATTAAAAGGTAGGTTGCAAAATACTATATTTTGATAAAATAATCAAATTGTACATAGACTATGAGTCTATTTATATATTTTATCACCTGAGAGTATATGTAAATAATGTTTATCTTGGAATGGTGGAATTATGTATAGTTTGTTCATTTTTTGCTTATTACAAATTTCTATTATTTCTTCAATACTATCTCACATCTAATATTAGAACATAATATTTTAAATAAAAATTTGGGGCCACAGCAACTGCTAATTTTCAAGATAAAATACAACAAATGTTTGAAAATAAAACTAATAAACTTTAAAAGACTGTTCCCTCTTTCCACTATCTCCACTAACTTCCTTCCCTTGCTCCCCAGCCTCTGGAAAAGACAATTTTACTCTATTTCTATGAGATCAACCTTTTTAGGCTCTGCCCATCAGTAATATCATACAGTATTTGTCTTTCTGTGTTTGACTTATTTCATTTAACACAATGTCCTCTAGTTTTCTCTCTATTAAATCAGGATTTCCTTTATATAGAGTGAATAATATTCCACTGTGTTTCTATTACATTTCTTTATTCATTAATGAACACTTAGGTTGTTTTCATATCTAGGCTACGATGAATAATGCAGTGAACAATGGTGGGGTGTAGATGCCTCTGAGATATTATTTCATTTTCTTAGCAGAGGTACCTCACATGGGATTTCTGGGATTATGGGTGGTTCTACTTTTAATATTTTAATGAATATTCATACTATTTTTTGAAAATACAGTGATGTTGTTAATTACAGTGGTCTAATATTATGCTACCCAGACATTTACTTAGGTCCAGCTCCATCAGCCATTTTCCCATGCATGTTGGGCATATTTTCTGTACTGAAATTCCTTTTTTAATTGTCCAGAAAGTTAACACATTCACTATTTCCTCAACCACTTTAATAGTAACTGTTATGACTATGTCTAAATGTCCCCCAGAGTCTCATGCAGTCATAGGTGGGGCTTTTTCCATGGTTGATGGATCTAGTGTGATGCTGGAATTGATTCATGGTGCAATGCTAGGATTAAGGGCACTAAGATTAAGGATATAGTGCTCCCAACCCTAAGTAGCTTGATAAGATATAAGAACTAGAAAGTTCCATGGTTGTCCCTTGCTTGCTTTTGCTGTCTTGTGCCTGCAGTGAACCGTTTCTCCTCTGTGATTCCCCTCAGCCATGTGCCAGTCTGCCTTAGAGCCAGCTGATTATCGACTGAAACCTCTACTAACTGTAAGCCAAATAAACTTTTTCTCCTTTAACTTTGGGTGTCAGGTATTTTGTCTCAGCAACTAGAAAAGTAAGACAATAAGATAAGACCAATAACAGATATGGAAGGTTTGTTGTTGAAAACAATTATAATTGTACTTCTCTAGCACTCCTTGAGTTTCTGGGTGTCCTGTGAGATATGAAGGAAAGGAAAAAAAAATGAAGGCTGACGAGTACTTTCCCTGAAGATACTCACCACCCTTGGTGCTAATCCAGTGTGGGTTGATCACATCCAGAGAGTTGGACAGCTGCGTATTTCTTGATGCAGATAACCACTCCAATAAATTAAGGTCCCAAGGTATGTAGTCTTGTTTGGGTTACAGCTACTAAAATAAGAATGCAGGTTTCTAGATCTTCTGCTGCAAGTTCTGTCAATAAGTATTTATTATTATTTATTATTTATTTATTAGTATTTATTATTTAAATGGATTACATTTAAAAACAACTGAACCAGAAAATATACCGATTTAACATCTAAATTAACTGCTAAATGACAGTAAAATCTGGTATATGAGTCTGACAAAGACAGTTATTAGCCAAATCATTTCAACTATAATTTCCCCATAGGATCAGAGGAGAACACCTCAAGAATAAGCCCTGCTGAGGGGTCAGTAGTGCTCTGTCCTTCACCAGTTCAGTACGTGCAAATATCTCATTTGACTCTATGCTTCAAATGTGAAACAGAATGAGGTTATTTTTTCCTTCTGCCCTCTGCTAAAACCCATCTCAAGGATTTGGTTCTACTTAATCTCATCCTCAGCTTCTTTATTTTTACTAGTAATACAACATAAAGATTACATTTGTAGTACATAAAGATTACATTCATCATGGGGAGTTGGTACAGGTACATAACACATCTTAACTCTCTTAAACCGCCCCCCCATCTCTTGGTCCCTTTCACATTTGTAAAAGATTTCCCTGTTTCCAATTATCTATCTTGTCTATGTCTGATGCTCTCTTCCCTGGTCAGCTGACCATTCTTGGGTTTCAAGGGCCATTTGTCACATATTTGATTATGAACAGATGTTCACTGTTAAGGAAATCTTGGAGGTCTTATCCAATACAATATTTCTGTAACCTGAAAGAGAGGAAATCATGTTTAGAATGGGGAACTAGCGTGTTCCAGGCCCGACCTCGAGGTACCACACTCTCACCCAATGGTGTGAAACCAGGTTGTTCACCCTCACATCTCCGGAAAAGGAGAAGCCAGTCAGGTCTCTTGCAGGAGACGAGGATGCTTCTGCCGGTCTGGGGAGATAGAAACCAAATTATCACAAATGGACATTTCAGGCGCGGGTAAATTGCTGCCTACTAATTTTAAAAGTAACATTATCAGGCTTGTTGGATTTTTTTTTTTTTTTTTAAACAAGAAGCGTGTTAATTAAACTCAGAATAGTCGCTCACTTGAGACGAAAGAGAGTTGATTTGGTTTGTATGGTAGGCAGAATTTGAACTATGAAAACTACAAAGGTAGGCTGTACTTTACCGGTGGACAAAGGGCAGTGCGTCAGACAGAGGAGTTTCTCAGGTTTCAGCCTCAGCTGCCTGTCGTCTTGGCCAAGTGGCCAGAGAACCGAGGTAGCTGCGCCGGCGGAAACCCCATCCCAAGGGGCTGTGACTCCGCCTAGACGAAAGGGGGCGCCCTGAGCCGCGCCGTTCTTGCCAAGCCCGCGGGTGCTCCAGCCTGGCCCCACGCAGCCGCCTCCTCAGCGCGCGCGGGAGAGTTCCTTTTCCGGGGCGTGAGACACCCGGATGCCACTGTGCTATATAACTGCCGATCCGGGCTTCAGCTTTCTTTCTGAGGAAGAGGCTCCTGTGGTGCGGGGCTCTTTGGCTCTGTTCGCTCCTGTTCCTGACTCACCGCTGTTCGCTCTTGGCGAGGAACAAGTCGGTCAGGACGCCGCGCCGCCGCCATGGTGAGGACTGGAGCAGCGCCGCGCCTCTCGGGCTCGTGCGCTGCTGGGGCTGATTTTGGGGACCCGACAGTCGGTGTAGCGTGCGCGGACTCAGCTTCCCAGCAAAGGGCTCCCGCGGTGGTGAAGGTGGAGGGGCCGGGGAGGCCACACGCGGGTTGTGATAAACTGCTTTTTAAATTGTGCTTATCGGCCCGTTTCAGGCTTTTAAAGATACTGGAAAGACACCCGTGGAGCCAGAGGTGGCCATTCACCGAATTAGGATTACCCTCACCAGTCGCAACGTGAAATCCCTGGAGAAGGGTCAGTAGGGTAATTTCGAAGTGAAAAGCAATGTATTTGACTTGTTAGTGCTTGAAATTGACTGGAAGTGGTAGATTGTTAAGATTATTTTCAGTTCTCATTATATAGCAGCAGTTAAGACGTTTGGCGATGAGGATATCCCTACTGTGTTGAACTACAGTGATAACTGTATACGCTATTCTGAGCCAACAGCTAAGGTTTCTTAAACCAGTTTTAATTGTTTGGAACGAATTGAGAGGTTCTTTAATTTCCTCGTAGTGTGTGCTGACTTGATCAGAGGTGCAAAGGAAAAGAATCTCAAAGTGAAAGGACCCGTTCGCATGCCTACTAAGGTAAATAGTCTTGCGGTGGGGGGACGGGAAGTAGTCTGGCTGGCAAAAGAATTGAATCATGTTAACTGTACAAGCCCAAATAAAAATGGCTAGTATTGCTTGTATTGGGTACCTAATGTTTTGAAGTGGCTGTTTAAAGTCCCAAGTTCTGGGTGTACTGTTCTTTCAGGGTGAGGGATTGGTGGTCTCAAATTCATATACTCTGTACTTCAGAGTAACAGTTTTACACAGATAATCATTAAACACTAGGTTTCTCTTGCCTTTTGTTGCAGACCTTGAGAATCACTACAAGAAAAACGCCTTGTGGTGAAGGTTCTAAGACATGGGATCGTTTCCAGATGAGAATCCACAAGCGACTGATTGATTTGCACAGTCCTTCTGAGATTGTTAAGCAGATTACTTCCATCAGTATTGAGCCAGGAGTGGAAGTTGAAGTCACCATCGCAGATGCCTAAGGCAACTGTTTTAATAAATTGATAATCAATTGTTAAAATGTGTTTGACTTTCATTTGGCATGTCTGTTAGGGAAGAGAAAGGGGTTTTCACTTTTCAAGTAAAAACTAGACTGATATTTAAGAAACCAATTTATTCTTTATAGACTTTAAATCATTCAAAACTGAATTCAGACAGTAGTGCATTGGGCCACGTTGATGTAAATGCCATTTTTCAGTGTAGCATGGCAGTTCGTAACTTTAGGCATGTGTTGAAACTCCATAATGTGGACAAAAGTGGTAATAAGGAAATGTTAGCATCAGTAGGTCATATCTGTAGACTACCTTTTTTTATAAATTCCTTGGAAATAACTTACAAAGCAGGTCTTTATACGTCAGGATGTTTAAAGATGGTTATTCTAGCACTATAGTGGCTTTGCAATTTAAACTGGTTTGCCAAAACAAAATTTGCTTTTAGTGACTTAAAGGTTTTTTCTATTAAATGTATTAACAAGATACCAGTTTTTCTCTGAGGAGAAATTTCCAGAAATGTGTCTTTAGAAGGTATTTAAGTATTTTTACAAATTTGTAAAATTCTGTCAAAAGAATTTTAGCCGTTTTTGTTGTTTAATAGAATTATAGTCCTGGGGTAATTAATGCTTTTCCTTTGGGTTTGGGCTTCTAGACTATCCAGTTTACTCACATTACTTTGATACTGTCTTAAGGTCAACAGGAATACATTGACTCACACTTCGAGTGAACATACCTGAAATTCATCTCACAGAAACCCTGTTAGCTGTCTCAGCCCATGCTCCACCACATAGGTGTACAAACTATTGGCCTGAGGGTGGAGTCTCGTCTCTTTCTGTTGCCTTCTCGAACAGCTTTACTTTTATGTCTTTTAGCATCTCTTAAGAGCTAGATTAACATCAGATTCAAATGAAACTACTGAGCTACCAAGTTGCTAAATTTGCAGGAAGATTCAAGGATTTTTAGGACTGGGGATTTAGCACAGTGGCACCACACCTGCATTGCAAGGGAAAGGTTCTGAATTCAATCTCCGCTACCAAGAAGAAAGGATTTTAAAATATAAATTGGGACAATATGTTTGCGGTAAGCCATTTTTTGTCATTCTACCAAAATTATATAAAACTAGCTTGGGAACACTTAAAAGGTGGTTTTGTGAATATGCTACTACTATAATGTATTTTAAGAATGTTTATAGGATAGGGGATAATTAACGATCACTGCTAATGATCCATTCTTGTCAGGGAAACTGGCTTTGTTTTAATTCTTCAGTGAATTCTCAAGAGCCAGAGATTAAGGCCTGTATGTCCTATAGCTCTGTTTTAAGCATTCTGCACACTAGGGAGTGCTAGAGAGCAGTCAGGTTGCCTGGTGATGGGTGGCATACTGAAGTGTATTGAAAGGTAAAAGTCTGGATTATATAGTACCCTGAGAAAACTAATAGGGAAAAGATCTAGATTCTATGAAAATTACTTAAAACCAAAGAGCAGATGCTGTGAAAAATCCCAAAATGAACTTTTCTTGTGAGTTTGAGTAATTGAGTTTTTTTACCACTAGATGGTGTTAAAGCAGGAAATAATACTTCAAAAACCTTAAGTGCCTGAAATAACAGTGCTTCAAATCGAAGGTTCAGTTTCTATTTGAAAACAGTCCCTGCCTTTGACCTTTGAATGTAAAGAATGAAGGACAGGTTAAACTGGTAATGATTTTATAAACGTTGGCCATCTTTATGGATGGGAAATTAAAGGTTTGCAGTGACAGCCTTTCCAGTCATCTCTGGATTCACAGTACTGCTTTGCTTCTATTTTAGAAATGTGACCTAGCTAATTTAGCAAGTGAATTAGAACTATGCATTTGTTCATTGCTAGATCAGATTTCTTCACCTGACTTCACTAAATTGCTTGTGTGTATGCTCTGAAAATTTAGAGAGAACAAGAGAAAGTATGAGTGGAAAGTTTGGCCACGCAGGTATAGTTCAGATATACTTAGATATGAGGGCTTGATCGAGTTAACATCTTTAAGCTTGGGCTCATGTGCCAAATAAGGATAGTGATAGTAACTATCTCAAATGTGTATCTGGGTGTTCCATTGCCTCTCTGGGAAATATTTTGTAATTAAACCAAGACTAGCTTGATAAGGGCAGGGATTTCATGCACCCGGACTTTGATTCCCAGAGGATGTGGTACACTAGCTCATATTTGAACCCCCAGGGCATGCCCTTTTCTCTTCCTATAAGGGGAATAGAGCACAGTAGGGCCTTTGCACAGAGTTACATCCACAGCCCTTTTATTTTTTTTAAATTTGATACCCGTCTCACTAAGTTGCCCACACTCGGCTTCAATTTGCCATCTTGTTGAGCATTTCTACATAAATTTTGGTGAAATATTTTATAATTAAAATATGACTATATCTAAGGCCCAGTGTTGCGTCCTCTATGACCTGGCTAAGACGTGTGGAAACATAAGTCTATTTTGTCTCCAATCACAGTTGAGGCCTCAATGGTCCATGAGGTTGTAGTGCTCAGTGACAAGTTTACATCACCTGAAGACATCCTAGTTCTTTGAGAATGTAGTTGTAACAAAAAGATTTCACCTGGGGAGGGACAAATTCTTTATCAGCTTAATTGATCCCACCTACTGTTGTGAGAATGTTCTTCTTTCCCCTCTCATCAGCATGAGATTTGCATTGACATAGGACCACCCCCCACCCCCTTCACCCTATACTCTGCAATTATTGTGTGCATCCATTTAAGTGATGGCTAATATGGAGAGTCTGGGTCTTTGCCCACTTTGAGGCACTGACGTCCTGGCCCCGCATTTACTTTGAAATTACGCAAGTCTCTGCTGTCTTTCTCTAGCCCTCACCACCCCCTTTTTCTCTGTGGTTGGAGCATTGATCTGCCTCTGATAGTACTCCAGAAAACGGATTACAGGTGTGTGCTACCACACCCAGCTGAGACATTTCTAACTTCATCCTCCACAAACAAGTGACCAAGCATATCTAATGGTATAGAGAACTTAGCAAAGCCAATTTTCTGTTTTGAAAGATAAGGAGCTAAATTAATACTTCATCCTAGAAATAGCATATTTTAGTATAATAAACTCTCAGAACTAGAGAACTGAATCCCAGTTTATTTTTGCTTTACATATTGTAGTTACAAAACCTATGATATAATTAATACCAGATTTTTCAAAACTTTTAATGTACATGTTAGTATAAACAATAAATCTAATCAAAATCTTTGAGATACTTATTAATACAAATGAGACAATAATAAATTACTATAATTTTGTCTTAAAGAGTTTTAAAATTGACAATTATACATATGAGGTACAGTGTGGTTTCATACATACATTCAGTGTATAATCAAATCATGTCTGTTCATAAACATTACATTGGGGTTGGAGGATGTAGCTCAGTGGCACAGCGCCTGCCTGGAAAGTGAGGCCCTGTATTTGATTTGCAGTACCAAAAAAAGAAAAATTGTAGTAAACATTACATTGAGAACATTTGGACTCCTCTTTTATAAAATAGCTAAGTTGCGAGTCACAGTTTACTGTAATATTCTAAAGTATTAGAACTTCTCCCTCCTATATAACTATATTTTGGTACTGGTTATACAACCTTCCCTTTTCTTAATCTCTAATGACCTCTGTTTTGCTCTTGTGTTTCTATGTGACCAACATTTTTATTTTTTCAGATGTGGTCTCATTGTGTTCCCTAGCCTGTCTTGACCTGGCCTCAAACAGCTCTGCCTCAGGCTCCTGAGTACTGTGACTATAGGCGCAAGCTGCCATTTTGAAATTGTTAAGTGTATAGAAATATTCCTGATATTGGTGTTAATACAGATATACTACAACTTTGCTGAACTTACTAGTTCTAATGGGTGTGTGTGTGAGTGTGGTATCGTCAGTACGTCTTATATGATGTCATCTGTAAATGGAAATTTCAATGCAGATTTTTTTTTAATGTAATTGCTCTGGTGAAGACTTCCAGTACTATAGTAAATAAGTTGAAAAACTAGGTATCCTTTCCTTGTTTGCTCCTAATCTTAGAGGAAAATCTTTCAGTCTCACCTTTGAATATCATGTTGGCTTGAGCTTTTCATATATGGCCATTATTATATTCAAATAACTTCTATCCTGGTTTGTTGAATATTCTATCATTAAAAAGTATTAATTTTTTTCAAATTATTTTTCTGCATCAATTGAGATGGTCAAGTGTCTTTTGTCCTTTTTTCTGTTGATGTATATTACATTAACTGATTTTTGCTTATTGAACCAGGCTGTAGGGAGACTTAGATCCTACTGAGGACACCTTCCAACAACTAAAATCAAGAGCAGCAATCTTCATAATTAAGAGCTGAGCTCTTCTCAGGAATCACAGTATATATTCGGGTATAGGCACCTTTACCCTTGTGAAGCAGGTTGGCTCACAGGTGTTTCATTAATTTTTAAATTAATCTCTGTTTAGCTTCCTCCTAACTCCTGCATCCTGCACCAGACTTCTGATCCAAAGGTGCCACTATCCTGGGAAGAGCAGTTCCCACCACTGTACCCTATCAGGAGTACATTCTGGGGGTGGGATCCCCCTTCATTCTGTTCTTTTGCCAATCCTCCATCCACTTTCTGAATTTCAGAAAGTAGCAGGACTCACAAATCCATTTCCTTTCTCTTTTATTATTGATTTATTCTTTGATTTTTCTTTATATCTTTAGGCAGAGAAAAACAAGTATGTGTACTCATTCTGCAATTCTAAACAAATTTAATTGATTCTTGAAGTCCTTCAAACATCTGTTTCTTACAGATAACCTACCTGGGTGGGACACTTCTCACTAGGTAGAGACAGTGTGTAGCCTAATGCTTCAGAACAGGGCTCCTGAGCCAAATTAACTGATAGATCATCTATCCCAAATTTGACTCTGCTCAGAGACGGTACATTACTTACACTCGTGTATATTTCAGTCTTTCTTTCTGTAGCATAAGAAAGTGCCTCATTGAGTTGTCTGAAAAGTAAATGATTTAAATTGTACTTA